CCCTGCAAAGCGTTGTTTTGGTTGTTAGTCTTGAAAGTACTACTAATTCATCCACCACTCCCTCGCACCCTCCCCCTCCTCCTTGATTTAGTTTCGGTCTCCCTTCTTTCTTCTTTCAATCGCTCATATTTATTCTTCACAAAAATTGGAACACTCGGAGCAGTTCTGGTTTCGATAATAAGACGGGCGATGGTTTTATCTTCTGATAATTGCTTAGAAGCAGGTTACTGGTTGCTTAGAAGCTCAGACTTGTTGGCGTGCCTCAGTACCAAATTACCCTCGCCGCTAAGAGGCTATCAAAAGAATAGCTCCATACCAAGCTAGCCATTATTACCAATTTGGTGGACTGAAATCACTCCAAATTTGACTCAGTGAAAGAAACAACCAAGAAACATACAGTTTTCTCGTCACTACAGATTGCAAAGCTGGGTGAATTATCATCATGCCCGGATGCGTCATCAGAACCTTGAGGCGTATGTGGCGGAGATACTGCAATTCATAAATTGATTACTCAAAATTCCTCTCTCGAAAAAAATAGCGGTATAAGATAGCCGTGCTACCCACAACAAATCCCCGCAAAGCGAGAGTTGTCGAACTTCTTCTCTCATGAAGTTCGTTGAACCAAACTGTTGTATCTTCCAAGCAAATATCAATTTAGTGAGTGAAATAAAACAATTAATCATAAAGGGTTTGTTTTTCAAGCAACTATCTTGAGGTATCGCTTGAACGTAGTCAAAATTTCCAAAAAATTTAGTGAAAGCACCGTTTCTGAACGCAAAACCAAAAGTTAGCCCTAGTCCTCGTCTCACTTCCCCATTCACTCTTTGTGAGAGGTAGAGGCACTCAGAAATGGCCCACGTGGTAGCAAGTGACAAAATCAACAACTCGCTAATTAGGTTTCCTTTCGAGGTTTGCTTATAAACAGGCTGATGGCGAAAATTTACTTTCTGCCAGCAGCAGTGAACCAGCCGCAGAGAGCGAGGTAATCCAAATAACAAAACTGAACCTTTTATTTTAATCTGTCACAATGCCATGCCATAATTAGTGTTGCAAATTAATAATTAATGTTGGGAATGAGGTACGACTCAGCGGACCGAAACATTCCTTTTCAGTATTTATTTAGCTCCCTACTGCATTACACATTTTTAATAGACTCGTAATATAATATTCTTTTTCCTATCACTTACCCTTTTAAACTTCTCCTGCCTGTTTTTCTCCTATTATTATTCTAAAAGTCCCGCTTTATTATTCCCTAGCCACATATGTATCACAAAAAAAAAACTCCAAAGCATAGCAACCATTTAAGGCAGCGGTTTTTGTTCTGGAGACCATTAGTCGTAGACCTTGCCGAATGGTGCCAGCTGGCCCTAAACCGCAGTCGTGTCGCCAGTCTACCTGTAATAAAAATTAACTCATAAAGCGATTTAAAAAAAACTGAAAAGAGCTTCCAGCGAGCCGAAGTAGAGAAGCGAGGAGGGTAAATGATAACAAAGTAATGAATAAAATGGTGGTTCGGAAAAAAATTCGAAATCGAAAATCGCAGATCCAAATTATGAGCCCACTTGATTTAGCAGAAAAGTGAAAAAATTTCATTCAATACAGAAGCCGGACAAAGCTGAAAATATGTATTAAGGATGGGTTGCAAAAGTATGTGAATCTCGAAATTCCGGAACTTTTGTTAATCGGTTTTGAGATATGCACATGCAATTCAGGTGTTTGTAAAATTCTCTAACAAACCAGTGCAGATTCCAGTTTTCCACGCATATCCATCGAAACAGCTAACGGTGCAATCGCCTGCTTGAAAAGTTCGTCGACAGATTTGATCCCAATGGATTTCATCCCCGTACTGACCCGTGTGTTTTTTCGCTTTACCGACATACCTCGTTTTCGAGGTTTCTGAAATTTTCAGTTCATTGAGACGATTTCGGTAGTAAGTTTTGGAAGAAATGCAGCGCAGTTAGGAAACAGATTAGAAAAAAAACAAATTACAAAAGGTCAAGAGTTTTCTAAAAAACTACAAACTTCATTAAAAAATTTTATCAAAAGAAAAATTAAGAAATTAGGAAAAATTTGGCGTTCAAATGGAACGTAACCAAGAAGTTATAAAGCATGAGCAGCATTTTGTGTTTCTCCTGAAATTTTCACAGAATCAGAATGTAAATTCCTCAAAACTATTGCGGAAATAGGCGCAACCTCAGAAAACAAAAAAAAAAAAATTTCGAGTTACAACGCTAAAAAAATCGCAGCACGGTTAATTAATAACTTTTAATGAAGTCATTTGTATCAGAAACAATATCATGAACAAATTCGTAACCAAGAATACTCTTCCTCCCTCCTCCGCTCCATTTACTATCTCTTTCATTCTTTCGCATCTTCTTCGCCTCCCTCCTACCGCATTTCACAAAAAATCTTTTTTTGATTTATGCAATTCTGAAATGATTGCTGCCCCAAAACATAGAATTAACTTTAGAATTTAAGGAATGTATGTAATTTTGTTTGAAAATTTTTTTTTTACAGATAAAAGTAGCGAAACATTGCTTCAGCAC